ATGAATGTTTCTGTTCAATTATTATTTTATACATGAATGTTTCTGTTAAATTATTATTTTATAGATGAATGTTTCTGTTCAGTGTCTGAGACGACTTCTGTTGTGACTTGGAGCTTTAGAAATAAACTGAACTGAAATTGAAAAGAGAGCGATCCTTTAAAGACAGTCACAGCAGTGTTGGAAGGAGACGGCAGTTTTTGTGCCGGACGAGGCCGCTCTCTGTGGCTGTGCTGGATCGTCAAGTCAAATTTATTTATAAAGCCCGTTTTAAACAGCAGCTGTTACCAAAGTGCTCAACAAAAAGATTAAGGCAGTAATTAAAGACAAATAAGAAGTTATCAAAAATAAAAATGTGTGTGTTCAGGAGAGATTTAAAAACAGGAAGTGAAGTTTCCTGTCTGATGTTGGGGCAGGTTGTTCCACAGTTTAGGGCCTGTGACTGAAAAAAGCCTGATCTCCTCTGAGCTTCAGCCAAAAGCAGCTGCTCAGATGATCTCAGCACATGAGAAGGAACATGTGGTTGAAGTAGGTCAGAGAGGTATGAGGGTGCAAGGTCATTTAGGCACTTTAAGGTCATCAGGAGAATTTTAAAATCAATTCTGATACATACAGGGAGCCAGTGAAGGGAGGACAAAACTGGTGAAATGTGCTCAAACCTACGAGTTCCTGTTAAGAGCTGAGCTGCAGCATTTTGGACGAGCTGGACACATGACAGGGAGACCTGACTGACCCCAACATACAGGGAGTTACAGTAGTCCAGCCAGGTTGTAATGGAGGCATGGACTAATGTTTCAAGGTCACATCTGGTCAGCACGGACTTAATCTCAACTGTTTGCCTTAACTGGAAGAAGATTTTTTGTAGAACAGAGTTATTGTGTTTACTGAACTTAAATCAGAGTCTAAAACCGTCCTGAGACTGTAGCGGACAGGTTAAGATATGACAGAAGAGAGTCCAGGTTTACAGGAACAGAGACAGCTGTAGAGCTACGATGACACAATGACTTCAGTTTTATGATCATTCAAACTTTAAAAAATGAAGCCATCCATGCCTTGATGTCATCAAGACATTTTAACAGAAGGTGAATGAAGCAGGACCTGTTGGGTTTACGGGATAGGGATAAGGTTTGATAGGTAGTACGCCGTGCGCACCACATCCAAACATGTTCCCTGTGTTTGCTTCTTTTGTCCACCGTCTGTTGGAAACCGTGGCTGTCTTTGATGTGCGTTGCAGGAGAAGGGTGAACCAGGAGTTCTATGCTGATGTTTCTCCTTAAGTATGAAGTGTCGATGTGAAAAGATGTCTAGAAAACCACCTGAGTGAGAACAGATCTTGTACATCTCGCTAATTATGTAGCAGCCTTAGTCTTGAGTGTTCCAGTACAAATAATGCTTTTTTTCTATATTGTGTATCTAAATCATCCATCCATCATCCATCCATCCAATATCTTTTACCCACTTAATCCATTTTGGGTCACCGGTATCCATGTCCAGTAATCACTGTGCAAGGGGCAGGGTACACCCTGGACAGGTGTCCAGTCCATCACAGGGACACCTGAGTGACCGGAGAAAACCTACGCAGCACGGAGAGAACATGCAAACTCCACCCAGAAAGGCCCCCGGACTGGGATTTGAACCAGGGACCTGCTCGCTGAGAGGCAGCAGCTCTACCAGTTG